TCAGGATCGATCACTGATGTACGAATGTTGTCAGTATTTGGTAACGCGAATGGAAGCAATGTACCCTGAACTTGTAAAAGATGTCACTGAATTTGTTAAGGTTTGGTTTTTTTTTAACCTTTTGGTTCTCATCATAAAACTCAAAAGCTTTTTCGGTATTTTCTCAATCGAAAGCAGTGACGTTCGGTTGCGAAACATGATCACTAACGAAGCGAATAAAGCAAATACTAGCTGTGACGAAACATGTGATAAAGTTGGAGATTTCTGTAAAATAGTCAGCAAAACTCGTGAAGAGTTTTCCTCCAGTCACTGCGTCTTTGGTGAGTTGGGCCTTATTGTTTTCGGGGCGAAATGATATAGGTTCCTACCTTTCACAAGAGACATAAAATTATAAATCTGTTTTTGCGGGAAACCTATGACGTTTGAGCTTTTTTTTTAAAGTCATATATTTCTTTGCTTCCTGATAGCTCGCGTACCGTTCGTTTCACGGGAAGTTTGATTGTTGCTTGTACGACCACGAAGTGGCTTGCTAATTTTCAGGAACTTCAACGAATTGATATGTTGCATGAAGAGCGCTGGATTTTTGTTCTGTCAAATCTCGACTATGAAATGAATCGCCGAATTGCACAAATCGAAGCGGAAAAAGCGAAAACTCTGTCGAACTCTTATTTGACCATTGAGCAGAGGCGGGAGCTCATAGATGAGAAAACAGTTATTCTCACATCGCCGGTACTTTCACATTTTGTTTCGTTTTCTGCTAAAACTATGAGGATTTCAGTCGCAAATTTTTAAATTTTTATATTTCGAGTTCTTAAGGGATTTTAGAGAAATTCTGTTTGATTTATTTCTAGAATCAAAAATTCTATGCTTGGTACTTGAAACGGCCAATAGTTTACAACTGAATCATATCGAGAACGTTTTCCAAGAGTGCAGTTGCTTACTGTGCCATTTTTTCTCTTTATTTTCTCTCCTTCGTAATTCTTCTGACCAGTACTGCATCTGTTAGCGTTCAGTGTCCGGTCGA